CTTCCTTGTTATTTTTTCCCCACATGGTCTTGGATACGGTGGCGCTTTCTCTTCTGAAATCAGGAGACTTCATATTGTGCTTTCAACTTAAATCCCACAAAATCTCTGTCTGTCTTTCACCACCGCAGCTGGTGTGGAGGGAAAACTAAACCAAGGCTTTTGGTGTCTTCCCGGCCAGCAAGATGATTTGTGTGTGTGTAGAGGACACTCCCGTCACGGGGCTCACGTGTAGGAGGTCCATGAGGATGGTCAGTAGGTGAATCTTCAGAAGTTAGTGGGTAAATTTCGTTTCTGATGACAAGTTTTGCTTAGGGCTTTAAATGAACAAAAGCAATTTTCTTCAACAGACATTGGAGCCAATACAATTATTGATAAAAACTTTTTTTTTTGTTTTTTTTTTGTTTTTTTTTTTGACACAGAGCTTTGCTCTGTTGCCCAGGCTGGAGTGCAATGGCAAGATCTTGGCTCACTACAGCCTGAAATTCCTAGGCTCAAATGATCCTCCTGCCTCAGCCTCCTGAGTAACTGGGACTACAGGTGCACGCCACCACGCCTGGCTCATTTTTGTATTTTTTGTAGAGATGGGGTCTTGCTGTGTTGCCCAGGCTCTGCATGGCTTAAAACAAATGTGTTTTTTTGTTGTTTTTTTGTTTTTGTTTTTTGAGACGGAGTCTCGCTCTGTCGCCCAGGCTGGAGTGCAGTGGCACGATCTCGGCTCACTGCAAGCTCCGCCTCCCGGGTTCCCGCCATGCTCCTGCCTCAGCCTCCCGAGTAGCTGGGACTACAGGCGCCCGCCACCTCGCCCAGCTAGTTTTTTGTATTTTTTAGTAGAGACAGGGTTTCACCGTGTTAGCCAGGATGGTCTCGATCTCCTGACCTCGTGATCCGCCCGTCTCGGCCTCCCAAAGTGCTGGGATTACAGGCTTGAGCCACTGCGCCCGGCCAGAACAAATGTTTTTATAGAGATAGACTCACTATGTTGCCCAGGCTGGTCTTGAATGCTTTGGCTCCATCCATGCTCCTGCCTCTGCCTCCCAAAGTGCTGGGATTACAGGCGTGACCACAGCGCCCGGCCGGGAAGCCCTGTGTATCGCCAGCTGTTGGTCTTGCACTGACGTGAGTCCGCTGCCTCGCTGCGCTTGTGCCCCTGACACTGTCTGCAGGTGACCTTGGATGGTCTATGAAGACCACCGCATTGCGGGCAGACACTGCAGCCCCTTCCCTTCCTTTCCAGTCCTGACACTGCTTGTTCCTTTCTCTTCGGTTTTTGTTTCATTTTGTTTTTCTGTTTTTGTTTCTTTGAGACAGAGTCTCACTCTTCACACCCAGGCTGGAATGCAGTGGCACGATCTTGGCTCACGGTAACCTCCACTCCACCGGGTTCAAGCAATTCTCCTGCCTCAGCCTCCCAAGTAGCTGGGATTACAGGCATGTGCAACCAAGCCTGTCTAATTTTCATATTTTTAGTAGAGGCAGGGTTTTACTATGTTGGCCAGGCTGATCTCGAACCCCTGACCTCAGGTGATCTGCCTGCCTCGGCCTGCCGAGTAGCTGGGATGACAGGCATGAGGCGCTGCGTCCAGCCTGTTTCTCTTCACGTATGTGCTGCCTGGGTCTGCCTGCACTGAGCTGGGCAGAAGGAGGGGTGGTGGTCCCTACCTGTCCCTCACTCACAGGAGGGGCTTCCTGCGGTCCACTGTTAAGTAGGACGTTTGCTGTGGGCTTGGATGCGATCCCCCTAAATTTGCTAAGAGTTTTATTGCAGTTGGTGGTTGAATTTATCAACCAAAAGAATCAGATGCTTATCGATTAGATTATCAAAGGTGGTTTATCTCTGCTCTGTTAACTGGCAAATTAGACGGTTAGATTTCCCAAGCGTTAAACCAACCTGATTTAGACCTGATTAGGTTTTCCTGTAATTCTGAGTACGCTTTCTGAGTCAGCTTGTTGATGAATTGGGGGGATGTTTGAATCAGTGTTCATAAGTGAATTTGGCCTGAAGTTTTCCTGTGTTCTATTAGTCCAGGCTTGTCCTGCAGGCGACACTCATCAAATCTGATCAGTCAGGACATTGGCCTCTTTTTTCTAGTCTCTGGAAGAGTTTGTTTGAAATGGGGATTATTTGTCCCTTGAAGATTTAGTATAAGTCTCACATAAAACCATGCAAGATAGATATATACACAGCTATGTACCCACAAAAATTTAAAAATAAAAAAGTTGAAAGAATTGGCCAGGTACAGTGGCTCACACCTGTGATTCCAATCGCTGGGAGGCCGAGTGTGCGACGATTGCCTGAACTGAGAAGTATGAGACCAGCCTGAGCAACATAGTGAGACCCAGTCTCTACCAAAAATTTAAATATTAGCTGGACATGGCGGTGTGGCCCAGAGCGTCGTGAGATGAGGCTCGGGGCACACGTGGTGGACATGGGGAGCAGATGGATCCCGGGCCTTCCCTGCAGAGCAGTGGGAAGAATGCAGTGGCAGACACCCTCGGCCTGTCCCTGTGGGGCGTGGCTCTGCCCAGAGGCTGTCCAGAGGCTGTCAGACCCAGCAGAGGGTGGGTCACAGCGTTGAGATGACCCAGGGACAGGCACAGGACACCTCCGTGGGCCTGCATCCTTTATGAGCAGGGGGGACAACATCAGTGAGATTCCCGTCCCTCATCAGGGTGGCCCCTTTGTCCCTGTGGCAGGGCCCGGGAACAGCCATCGTGTAGCAGGTGACGTGGGTGAGGGTGCTGGGGACGGCCATCGTGGCAGGTGACGTGGTGAGGGTGCAGGGGATGGCCATCCGTGTAGCCGGGTGGCGTGGAGCGAGAGTGCTGAGGCTGACCGCCATTACAGCAGGTGACGTGGGTGAGGGTGCTGGGGACGGCCATCGTGTAGCAGGTGACATGGGTGAGGGTGCCGGGGACGGCCATCGTGTAGCAGGTGACGTGGGTGAGGGTGCTGGGGTCAGCCCTCATGTAGCAGGTGACGGGTGAGGGTGCTGGGGACGGCCATCGTGTAGCAGGTGATGTGAGTTAAGGCCTGAGGACAGCCATTGTGTAGCAGGTGATGTGAGTGAAGGCCTGAGGACAGCCATTGTGTGGCAGGTGATGTGGGTGAAGAGCCTGCAGACCCACTCCTGGCCCTGGCCCAGGTCTTTGGGCCTCTGGACGGTTGGCACACTGCCAACTGCCACAGCACCCACCTGGTTCTGGCTCCCACTGCAATGTTGCAAAAGGACCTGTGGGTAGTGGGTTCTGTGCCGTTGTCCAGCCTGCATCCTGCCTTAGGCACGGGGCCCTCACCACAGTTCTGATCCGTCCCTGATCTGTCCCCCGCACCCCACTGTCTGAATACAGAGGCCCCCTCCTCTCTGTCGGGGAGCCCAGGCTTCCAGCCCTTGCCCTGCGTGGTTCTCTCCGGGTGTGGTGGGAGAAACCTGCCAGGAGAGACAAGATCCCTGCTGCTTTGTTCACAGTGTGAAGCCAGAAGGCACCAGACCCAGACCCGCTCCCGGGCCGGCTTCTCCGTGAAGCCCCTTTCTCCAGCAGGAGAGTGTGGCTGCCCCTTTGGGTGCTCAGGGGCCTCCTCAGCCTCACCTGGCCCTCACCTTGGGGGTGGGGGGGTACAAGAGAAAGGAGAATGAAGACTTCCCCATCTCAGGTTGAGGATGCCTGGTGCCCTGTCACAGCCCAGCAGCCTCCCTGACCCAGCGCCAGTCCCAGAGCTTCTGCGAGGCGGGCACAGGGCGGCCATATGGGAAGTCTCAGTGCTAAATGCTCCAATGCCCCTGGGCAAACAGTGGCCCGGCAACTACGGATGTCAACCTTGCTTGGGTTTCCCCAGAAGCCTCCCCTGTGGCACCCTGGAGATGCCGTGGGCACTGGGCTGGCCTGGGCAGGGCTGCAGGTGGGCACTGGACAGGGCTGGGCAGGGCTGCAGGTCCCAGTTATTTCTCTCAGCGGTGGAGGAGTTGCCCAGGGGTTCAGAAGATCTCGAATGGGAGGGGACTGAGAAGGAACTTACAGAAGCACCCCCCCTCCAAAAAAAGAACCCAAGGGATCAGCGGGGCATCCCAGGAAGCAGCAAGGCAGCCCTGGGGCCACAGCAGGGTCTGGGATGAGCAACCCTGGGTGGGGACGGGGGGAGGTTGTAGGGGTGGACTTTGCTTTATCTGCTGCTTATCTGAGGGAAGGGAATCTGCCCCAGACCAGGCACCCCAAATCCCTGCAATAATGGCATGGACCTAGAAAAAGGGAGGGGGGAGAGAGGGAGGGAGGGGTGCATTAGATGGGTGGGTGGACGGACAGATGGACAGATGGACAAGTGGATAGATTAGTGGGTGGATGGGTGGATGGATAGATAAATAGATAGGTGGATGGATGAGTGGATGGATGGATGGATGGATGGATGGATGGATGGATGGATGGATGGATGGATGGATGGATTAGTAGATGGGTGGGTGGATGGCTGGATGGATAGATCAATAGATAGGTGGACGGATGGATGGATGGATGGATGGATGGATGGATGGATGGATTGGTGGGTATGGATGGGTGGATGGGTGGATGGATAGATCAATAGATACATGGATGAATGAGTGGATGGATGGACAGATGGATGGATTAGTAGATGGGTGGGTGGTTGGGTGAATGGATAGATCAATAGGTAGATGGGTGGGTGGATGGATGGATGGATGGATGGATGGATGGATGGATGGATGGATTAGTGGATGGTGGGTGGATGGGCGGATGGATAGATCAATAGATACATGGATGAATGAGTGGATGGATGGACAGATGGATGGATTAGTGGATTGGTGGGTATGGATGGGTGGATGGGTGGATGGATAGATCAATAGATACGTGGATGAATGAGTGGATGGATGGACAGATGGATGGATTAGTAGATGGGTGGGTGGATGGGTGAATGGATAGATCAATAGGTAGATGGGTGGGTGGGTGGATGGATGGATGGATGGATGGATGGATGGATGGATGGATTAGTGGGTGGGTGGGTGGATGGATGAATGGATGAATTCATGGTTGGATGAGTAGGTGGATTTAGTGGGTAGATAGATGGTAGATGGATGAAATTTGGTGATGAGGCTGACCTGTACTTTTAGTGGAGGACTGGGCTGGGAGCTGGGCCCCAAGAGAAGAGTCATCACTGAGAATATTTCCCCTGCTCTTGCCACCCATCCATCATTTCCCCCCACCACCAATGAATGCCTGGCTTGGAGCAGCCATTTCTACAGCGCAACCGTCCAGAGCAGATGCACCCGCATCAGGAAGCTCCAGTCCCCGCCCGGCTAGCCACACCCACACTCAGGAACACACTGGCCACTTTCTGGTTTGCTTTGCTAACCGTTTAATGAGACGACACTGCAAACTGGCTCCAGGACTTTCATCCCTAACCTCACTCCCATTCAAAGCACCTTCCATGCCTCCTCCTCCCAGTGTGAGGGAGGAAGGTGCAGGTCTGAAAAGGCGGAGGGAAGTGAGGACCACGTGGGATGGAGGAGCAGAGAAGGTGGGTGCTGGAAGAAGCAGGGAGCGGAGTGACCAAGACGAGGAATGAGCTGGATTTTAGGGAGCTGGGAGGGGCCTGGGGCTTAGAGGCGCATTTGCTGCAGGATCCAGGGCACATAGGTCTGGACTCGTGTGTAGACGCCAATGCTGGGCCGATGACTGTAAAATCCCCAGCTCACCACTCCTGCCTGGAGCCAGGTACCTTTCTTCTTGCAGACCAGGGGGCCGCCAGAGTCACCCTGTGGAGAAGGAAGGCCCAGCTTGACCAGAGACCCAGGACCCTGCGCATCCCGGTCCAGCCTCAGAACCGCAGACAGGAAAAGAGATGGCAGGAGAGAGGCGCCAGGTGTCACCTTCCAGGTGCGGCGGCCCGTGCGGCCGGCACAGATCATGTCGTCCTGGATGAACTTTCTGTCTCCAGCATCAGGAAAAGCATCGTGGATCTGCTGCTCACAGTCTGCGTTGCTCAGTGTGGGGACCTTCACCTGCTGCAGGCGGTAAGGAGGCGGCAGCATATCTGCGGAAACCAACCATGGGTGTCAGGAGCGGCTCAGGAGGGGCCCCCAGCCAGCACCGTGGCAGGACCCCTCCCTGCCCCAAGCCTCAGCTCAGGACCTCGGATGCTCAGCCTGCACGGTCTAAGGCGGAGTCAAAGAGGAGAACCTCTAAAGCTGCAACAACTCAGAATGGAAATGCCAGAATGGAGTACAGCGGCATAATCATAGCTCCTTGCAGCCTCCGCCTCCCAGGCTCCAGCAACGCTCAAGCGATCCTCCAGCCTCAGCCTTCCAAGTAGCTGGGACCACAGGCATGCACCACTATGCCCCGCTAATTTTTTTTTTTTTTTTTTTTTAAGATGGAGTCTCGCCCTGTCACCCAGGCTGGAGTGCAGGGGTGCAATCTCAGCTCACGGCAATCTTTGCCTCCCAGGCTCAAGCGATTCTCCTGCCTCAGCCTCCTGAGTAGCTGGGATTACAGGTGCCCACGACCATGCCTAGCTACTTTTTGTGCTTTTAGTAGAGTCAGGGTTTCACCATGTTGTTCAGGCTGGTCTCAAACTCCTGACCTCAGGTGATCCACCTGCCTCGGCCTCCCAAAGTGCTGGGATTACAGGCGTGAAACACTGCGCCCGGCCAATATATAGTTTTCTTAATTCTTTGTAGAGATGGGGTCTCCCTGTGTTATCCAGGCTGGTCTTGAACTCCTAGGCTCAAGTGATCCTCCTACCTTGGCCTCCCAAAGTGCTGAGATTACAGACGTGAGTCACCGCGCCCACTCCCACCCCCGACCACCCTACCACCCCCATCCACCAATACCTCTTAAATCGGGAGAAGAGGGAGATGGGACCCTACACACATATTCTAGCAAAGGGAGGCGGGACCCACGCGCGCGCTCTAGCAAAGGGAGGCGGGACCCACGCGCGCGCTCTAGCAAAGGGAGGCGGAACCCACGCGCGCACTCTGGAGAAGGGAGATGGGACCTATGTGCTCTAGAACAGCACCAGGTATTGCCTTTCAAAGAACAGAGGCCCTAGGCAGGAAGTGAAGAAAGCCTCAGGGTCTCTGAAACCTTCAGTGGAGGGATGGACAGATGGGTAAATTCGTGCCCTCTTTGAACCCATTTTCTTTTCCACAAAATGAAGAAAATGTCTTGCAATGAGAATATGCATAAAATACGTGTTCTATACACACACGCACAGCATGGTCGCTGCCTCCTCCCACCCACCCCAAAGGCTCATTTTCTTTCCTCCCTCTGTTTTATGAGCTTGTATCCCTAGGGCAGCTCACCTGAACCCTGCCCCCCCAACCCTAGCAAGAGACACCCCAGAATGTGCAAACCAAGAGCTAATCTTTCATGAGCCTCCCAGGACCCCCACGTGTGCCCGTTCTGCGTCCCTCTGGTTCTCACCGAACAAGCTGACACAGCCCCAGCCTGTGGTCCAGCAGTTGTCACTGTCAGTGAACTCCAGAGACTGTGACGGCAGGGCCACCGGTGCAAGAGTGTGTGTTTTCCTCACACTGGTGGCCAGCTTCAGCAGGGCGATGTCTGCCCCCAGGAAGAAGACAGAGTAGCTGGGGTGGACGATGATCCGGCTGACGTTCAGCAGACCCCGGCCCCCGTACAGATACACGTCCCCGGCGTGGATCCGGTAGGTGGACGGGTCGGTGTCCCTCCTGGGGGAGGACAGACCGGGCTGCTCAGGGGGCCTGGTCTGCGGCGGCCCCACTCCCACCTCCCCTCGCTGGGGTCCCCGGCCCGGGACTCACCGGTAAATGCAGTGGGCGGCGGTCAGCACCCACTGGGGGTGGATGAGGGAGCCCCCGCAGATGTGCACCCAGGAGGCCCAGTGGTAGCTGTAGATCCTCAGGCTGACCTGCCACGGCCACTTCCCCTGGGGGGCGTTGTGGCCCCCCACGATGCCCACCAGGTCATTCTCGGGAACGGGCACTGGGAGCACCAGGAGGGGGTCAGGGAACCCAGCCTCTGCCACCCAAGCCTCACCCCACACCTGCCCTTGGGCAGAAGCCGGTCTGTGCATGTGTGCCCTGGATCCTGGGGACAGGGGTGGCAGAGCCCCTGGGAAGGGAGGGCTGTGTGGGGTCGGGGCTCACCTGGGCTCTCCGCGCTGCAGCTCCGCAGGGAGGAGACGGCCAGGAACAGCACCAGCAGCATCTGCGGGGTGAGTGCGTGGGGTGTGGGCTGGGGGCTCAGACCCAGGGTCAGGGGAGAGGGTGTGGGCTGGGGGCTGCGGACTCAGACCCGGGGTCAGGGGCAGCAGCATCTGTGGGTGAGTGCGTGTGTGGGGCTGGGGGCTCAGACCCAGGGTCAGGAGTAGGTGGTGTGGGGCTGGGGTCATGGACCTGACCCGGGCCAGGGGTGGGAGGGTGCAGGGGCTGGGGTCAGACCTGGGATCAGGGGGTGTGAGGGAAGTGGGGTGTGGGCTGGGACTCAGACCTAGGGTCAGGAATGGGTGTGGGGATGTAATAGGGGTTTGGGACTTGGATCGGGTAGGAGGGTGGGGTGGATTGGGGCTGGGGGGACCCGGGATCAGGGAGTGGACGGGGTGGGCCAGCCCAGACCCTGGGTCAGGGGTGGAGGGCGTGGGGTGCAGGCTGGGGGCTCAGACCCGATTGGGGTGGAGGGCGTGGGGGGCAGGCTGGGGCCTGGGGACCCGGATTGGGGTGGAGGGTTGGGGTGTGGCTGGGGACTCAGACCCGGGGGTCAGGGGAAATGGGCATGGGGCATGGCTGGGGTCAGACCCGGGGGATCAGGTGGTGGCATGGGGTGGGCTGGGGGCTCAGACCTGGGATCAGGATGGAGGGTGTAGGGGTGTCGGTGTGGGCTGGGGACCTGGGATTCGGGTCAGGGGTGGAGGGTGTGGGGTGTGGGCTGGGGGCTCAGACTCGGGGTCAGGGGTGGAGGGTGTGGGGTGCAGGCTGGGGGCTCAGACCCGGGATCAGGGGAGAGGGTGTGGGGTGTGGCCTGGGGGCCAGGAACCGCCTGCAGGCATCGGGGAGGAGACGGCGCCCTTACCATGCTGGGACTCAGCAGCTCTCTTCCCTGGCCCCTCGGAGCCTCTTTATCCTAAGCCACAGGAGGAGGGCAGCGGGAGGGTGGGGCCCTGTGGTGGCCTCAGGTCCAAGAGGCGTCTCTTCACCCTCTCCTCCTCTCTGTCTCCCACCCACACTCCAAGTCTCCACCCACCCCGCAGCCTGTGCTGGCAGGACCGGGTAGGAGGAGAGGGTGAGGGCAGAGTGCAGCTGGGGCAGTGCTGGGGCCCTCTGGTCTGCCTGTTCCTCCAAGAGGACGCCACAGCATCACGGGGCTGGTTCGCAGGGCCAGGCCCTTGGAAAAAACTCAGGTCTCGAGCTCAGGAAGGAGCCCGAGGTAGCGGCAAGGCTCTGCCTCCCACCATGGGGTCCCCAGGACAGTTGCCAGCAGTTCATGTGCTGCAGCACCCCGTGAAGGCGAGGGGTGGCCCCGAGTGGAGGTGCGGCTCGCTCCCAGGACAGGGGCCACAGGCCCAGCAGACTGTCCAAGGAAGGTGCCCACTGTGACGGTGCCCAACGCAACTGGCCAAGCCCACTCTGGCCAGATGTCCTCTAGCCGACTCACCCTGGGGTCTGCATGTGGAGACACCTCCATGGTGGGTGTGGTTGGGGAGAGGCCTTCGGGACACAATTGAGTCAGGGTCTGGCTCTGTCGCCCAGGCTGGAGTGTAGTGGCGTGAACCCAGCCCACTGCAGCCTGCACTTCCTGGGCTCAAGCAATCCTCCCACTCAGCTCTCCCAAGGAGCTGGGACCAGCAGAGCACTATACCCCAGAGACAGGAGAGAGACCCCTGCAGTGCTGACCGGAGGGGCCCAGGGGCAGAAATGCTGCCCTGGACGTGCCGCAGCTGCACCATGGGTCTCGAGCAAGAGCTTCGGAGGTGTGGTGGCGCCAGAGCCGTGGTTCTCCCAAGGAGTATGGGGCTTCGAGGACAGCCAGGGCCAGCAACCACAGAGGCCACCGGAAAGGCAGGGAGGGAAGGAATAGAGAGGAGAGAGACAGGGAAGAGGGAGGGAGGACCCGAGAGGAGAGTGGTATGCGGCTGTCCAGTGTTGGAGGACTCGGGGTACCCCACATCCTGCAGCCCGGGCCATCTGTCCCCAGACTCGGTGAAAGCTGTTCCTCCTCTGGGACCCCCCCACCAAGAGGTCACAGGCACCGTGAGAAAGGCCTGGCGGCTCCAGGCCCCTCCCTCCTCCAGCGGGTGCTGGGACCCCAGTCAGAGCTAATGAAGGGGCCTCGGGGGCTCACATCCTGCCCAGAGTGTAGGGAGCCTGACCCCCGGGCTCCTTGAGGCCCCACGGTCCCTACTCTTCCCTCCCTCCCTCTGTGGACTGGACCCCCACCTGCTCCCCAACTTCTTGCTAAATCCCTTTCTCCTGTCTTAAGCCCCTCCCCAATCTCTGTGTGGCCCCCATCCCTGCAGCACACCTCGGGCTTCCCAAGTTGGAGGTGCGTGTAGTTGGGGTGGGCAGTTGGCACTAAAAGCCAGAAGTTCCTCGGCCAGAGGTGAGGAGGTCAGATGTCCCCCGGCCCCTTGCCTGTCAGGCGGATGGACAGACGATCCCATCTGATGGTCACAGCCACGGCAGGGTGGCTGAGAGCGTCAGGCACCCAGGGGGACCCTCTTGCTGAGGCCCGGGGGCGGAGGCAGCCACTCTCGGCACCCCCTGCCCCATCCATCTCAGGGCGAGGCCGTCCTGCCCCAGCCTGGGGGCCGGCGGGGGGAGCTGACGAGGCAGCGAACCACCCAGAGCTGGAGAGAAGGCGCCACGGTGTTTTCCCGGCGTTTCTTCACTGAACTTTCTCAGCCGTTTCCCCGCAGACCCCTGATAACAGAAACCCGATCTGATGCCCAGTCTGGAGACATTCAGGTCCACCCAGGGTCAAGGGCCCTGTGGCCCATGCAGGCCCCCCGGGGTCCCAGGAAGCCTGGGCTCTGGGAAGAATCTGGAATCCTGGTGGGGCTAGGAGGGGGTGCAGAGAGACCCCCGAGGAAGCTGTCCTCAGGCCCCTATCGTGGAGGAGATCCTGGGAAGGGGTGTGGATCCCCTGCTTCGGAGGGGCCCGGGAAGCAGGAGGGGCTCAGCAGGGCGGAGGCAGGGCCTCCCTTTGGCTCCAGGAAGTCCACGTGGTGGGGTGCTCCCGTCTCCCCCAGAGTTGGGGATGGACAGTGTTGGTCCCAGATAAGTGGGAGTGGCCACAGCTCACCAGCAGGGGCTTTGGGACCACATGGCCTCGTGGTGCCCAGGCTGTGGCTGTGGCTGTGGCTGTGACGGGGCCACTGTGTCCTGTTCGGGGTCTTAAGGGCAACCATGGGGACCCACACCCACAGCGGCTCCTCTGCCTGGAGAGGAGGGGTGAGGGAGCAGCTGCTCAGGGGCAGAGCTGGGGTCCCCCAAATTCCAGGGCAGCCAGCTCCGCAGAGACCCCACAGATCAGGGAGTCTGTGTCCTCACCTGACCCCGAGACTCCGGGAGGTCCAAGGAGGAGGCCTGGCCGAGGCAGCAGGCTCAGGCTGCTGGCCCCGCAGTGCGGCTCCATGTCGGAACTGGGGTGCAGCGAGGCTGGGTTTGACGTCACAGATTTGGGGGAATGAGGGGAAGGAGCAAACAGCTGTCCCAGCCAGGGGTGGGTGTTGGGGAGAGAACAGGGAGCTCATCCCTGAGCTGTGGGAACCTGTGGGGAAGGCTGAGCCGCTCAGGGAGCCCAGGTACCGCCTCTGGGAAGCACAGCCCTCCCAGAATGGCGCAGGAACCACACACCCTTCCCGTGGGCCCCCAGCCTGGCCCGAAGGTGCGGTCACTCCAGGTTGGCCACGAGCCCTCCAGAACCTGGGGATGTGTACCAGGAAGTCCCACCACGGCCCAGGACGCATCAGAGAATCGGAGACTCAGAGGCTGCTGTTCACACAGTTTAATAGCATGGTAGACCCAGGCAGGAGCCAAGGTCCCTGGGTGCGTCCTCCCCTCCCCCACATTCACGGGACACCAGCTGCTGAGCCTCCCCTGCCGCTGTGTCCTCACCCCCAGGTCAGGGAAGGACGGGGTATTTCGAGGGCCAGGCGGGGTGGACAGGAACAGGGCCTGGAGGCGGGAAAGGGAGCGGAGGGGAGGCCCGGCAGGGAGGCCAGGTGGGCTCCCCAGCTCTCAAAGCCTCCTCAATGCTCCAGCGGGACATGCTGGCGGACCCAGGAGGAATAGGTCATCACCCGGGTGTAGACACCAGGGTAGTCCCCATGCCTGGAGGCCACGCCCCAGCTCAGCACGCCCACCTGGAGCCAGGTGTCCAGCCAGTAACAGACCAGGGGGCCCCCAGCATCGCCCTGTATGGGGAGGACACAGTCAGGGGACGGCCCCACAGCAAGGCAGCTCCCACGGCCGACACTGAGGGCAGAGGGCAGGGCCGGGGTCTCACCTGGCAGTAGCCCTGCCCCTTTCTCCCTGCACACAGCATGTCAGCCTTGATGACGGTGCCCTGGCCGTGGGCAACGGGGCCTTTGTGATACATCCTCTCGCAAGCTCGGGTCCTCACGATGGGGACCTCAGCCTCCTGCAGGTGGGGGGCTGGGGGCAGCGGCGCTGTGGGGAGGGACTGGGTGAGCATGGCTGGTCCTGGGGGGCTCGGGCCCTCTATCCATGTGCCAGGGAGCCTGGGCCTGGCAGCCCCTTTTGGGCTCATGTTCCCGCTCAGTAGAAACAACACACTGAAGCTCCAACGGAAGCTGGGAGGGAAGCGCAGGGCTTCGGTGCTATAGAACATGACTTTCCCAAAGTTAAAGACCAGAGCGCCAACAAGTAAGAGAAAAAGCCATCTAGAAAATAAGCAACAGCCACACTGAAGCCGTGAGTCACCCTGAGATCTGCGCCTTCTGGCTTTTGGAAGATCTCGCTACTTTATTACCAGTCAAGAAGAAAAGTTGCAACATTCTGGACCTGGAGACAGCCGGTGAGGCACCTGCAGCCGGGAAGGCCTCCTGGAAGGGAGGCTCAAACCCAGACCTTTTTTTTTTTTTTTTTTTTGAGGCAGGGTCTCGCTCTTGCCCAGGCTGGAGTGCAGTGGCGTGATCACAGCTTTCTGCAGCCTTGACCACCTGGGCTCAAGCGATCCTCCCACCTCAGCCTCCCCACTGACTAGGAATACAGGCGCTCCCACTACACCCTGCTAATTTTTTTTTTTTTTTTTTTTTTTTTGAGACAGGGTCTTGCTATGTTGCTCAGGCTGGTCTGGAACTCCTGAGCTCGAGTTATCCTCCTGTCTGGACCTCCCAAAGCGCTGGGATTGTGAGTGTGAACCAGTGCACCTGGCTGCCAGATGGCGTTGAGAGATTAAGCCGGCACTGGCTGTGGCGGGGTCTTGTGATTCTGGGGAGCAGCGAGGTGCGGTGGCCTGTCTTTGACAACTGCCATAAAGAGGGTTTTGGGGAAGAGAAACCACATCGTGAAGTTGTCATCATCCTACGTAAGTCCCAGAGGAAAACGCTCAGAACGCCGGCTCTTCAGGGAGGACCGAGGGGCCACCGAGTCCAGCACACGATTCCCCTGCGGTTACCAGGGTCGGAACCACGAGCAGCCAATGACACAGGCCAGGTCGGCAACAGCAGGCCCGGGCGCCAAGGCTGAGGGGAGCCTCTCTGAGAAGCACAGCGTGGCTCTGTGATCCCGGACATGCCCTTCCCCCTCCCCAGCCTGTTTCCCCACCTTAACGCCGGGTGTGTGGACAAAGGGAGTTCTCAGAACAAGTACGGAATCTAGAGATGAGCAGCCCGAGAGCACAGGGCCAGGAAGTGAAACAGGAGCCCACTGTCCACCTAGGATCTTCCATTGGAAAAGTACAGACACAGACCGTGCCTGGGCAGCGAGGCCAGAGAGCCATGGGCTGAAGGCCACGGCCCTGGGTACGAATCCTCGGCCAGCCCCTGGGAGTCCTGCCATCCAGATGCGTCACTCGCTTTGACAACTGCAAACCGTGGCCAGGCACAGTGGCTCATGTCTATCATCCCAGCACGTTGGGAGGCCAAGGCAGGTGGATTACCTGAGGTCAGGAGTTCGAGACCAGCCTGGCCAACATGGCAAAACACCGTGTCTACTAAAAATACAAAAAATTAGCCGGGTGTGGTGGTGCGCACCTGTGGTCCCAGCTACTTGGGAGGCTGAGGCAGGAGAATCGCTTGAACCCGGGAGGCAGAGGTTGCAGTGAGCCGAGACTGCGCCACTGCACTCCAGTCTTGGGGACAGAGCAAGACTCCGCCTCAAAAAAAAAAAAAAGACAATTGCAAACCGAGAAACGGTGTCCAGCTCCTCCAGCTGTCTGTCTCCAAAGTTTAAACAAGAGCTAAAGATGCCTCCTGGTGGGGAGGCTGGGAGCAGATGGTCAGAGGTCCTGCAGCCCACCTATGGCCTGGGCACACCCCTGCCGTCCCCATGCACCCTGCCTGAGTTCTGCCCAGTCCTTCCCCGGCCCCCTCCTCTGATCTTACCGAGGGTCCCCCAGCCAGTCACCCAGCACTTCATCCCCGGGAGGAGCATTAGTGAGTCGGGGGCCAGCGAGACCGGGTGGACGAGCTCGGACAGCGTCACGGGGGTCTCCAGCTTCAGCAGGGCGATGTCTGCGCCTCCCCAGGCCAACAGGCTCATGTTGAACTTGGGGTGCAGGATGATCTGGGCCACCTTCGTCAGCTGGTCATGGCGATAGAGCATCACTTGTCCAGTTTGGACCTTGTATATCTGTGGCTCCCATGCGGCCCTGGGAGAGACCAGCTGCTTCTCAGGGCGGGGTCCCCGGCCCCCAGTGCAGCAGAAATAACGTTCAGGGGCTCAAAGCTGGGACCTCCTGTTCCACAGGCTCAATACCACCGGGAACCTGAGCCTCCTCCTGCCCCAGGACACCCCCACGCCACACTGCGGGGCCCCTCAGCTTCCTCCCGCCCGCATCTCCCACTACAGGCCTTCGGGTGAGCCACTCACAGTGCCACGCAGTGGGCCGCGGTCAGCACCCACTGGGGGTGGATGAGGGAGCCCCCGCAGCTGTGCCCCCACTGGTCCTGCTCCTTGTTGAAGGTCCTGAGGCTGACCTGCCACGGCCACTTCCCGGGAGGGGCACTGTGGCCCCCTACGACGTGCGCCCACTCAGTCCCTGGGCTGAGATCTGGGGACACGGTGAGAGGGGCTGTGAGAGGCCCAGGTGCCCTGCCCGGGGCCAGCATGGCCTCCCACACACAGTTCCCCAGAGCCCAGGATGAGCCAGCGGCTTCCAGGGGGTGCTCAGCACCCGCCCCACCAGAGCCAGCGCAGGTCTGGGGTCGGGGCGGTTCCCAGGACAGTGGGAGCATTGGATAAGGACTCACCCGGGAACACAGGCACGGAGCCCCCCAAGCCAGGCAGGGTCAGGAACAGCAGCCACAGCATCTGCAGGGTTAGGGGGAGGGCATGGCTGGGTGAGCAAAGCTGGATCCTGGATCTGGGTGGACTCGAGAGGAACCTGGGCCTCACCATCGTGGTCTCTCTGCCCTCTGCCTCTGGGCGCCTCCGAGCCCCCTTTATCGTCTCAGCACAGATAGTGGGTGGGGCCTGTGCCGCCTGTGGGCGGGGCTTCCCTCCTCCGAAGTCAGCCCATCAACATGTCAGCCGGGATCTGCACCAGGCCCGGGGGAAGGCCCCCGGTGGAGGTGGTGGCTTTGGCACTGAATGGGGATGCTCGGGCTGGGCCAGGCCGCCAATGCTCAGGAAAGGCCTCTCCCCGCAGGAGCCGCCCCAGCACAGCCAGGGCCTGGCCTGGGCTCCAGCCCAGGGGTTCACGGTCCCCGCCCTCCCTGGGAGGTGGGGTCCGGGCATGGGCCGCTGCCTCCTCCAGTGGGCCTGGCGCAGAGCCCCCAGTTCCCACCCACCTGGGAGAGCTCCGGGGCGGACTGAGTGGGAAGCGGAGGCAGCCAAGGGGCAGACAGGACTCCTCGGTGGGAGAGTCTGCAGGCAGGACTGGGAGGGGACGGGGCCTCCCATCCTCTTCCTGCCTCTTTCCGAGGCACCGGGAGTCCATGGGTCCTGGAGGAGAAGGCTCCCCGGCTTCCTCAGCAGTCAGCCCCCAGAGCCGAAGCTCCAGGACTGGTGAGATCTCTGAGGTGGGGACGCTTCACCTTGGCCTCCCCCAGCCAGAGAGGAAACAAGAAGGGACGGTTGGTTGGGTGCAGTGGCTCACGTCTGTGATCCCAGCACTTTGGGAGGCCGAGGTCGGGGGATCACGAGGTCAGGAGTTTGAGACCAGCCTGGCCAATACAGTGAAACTTCGTCTTTACTAAAAATACAAAATTTAGCCAGGTGTGGTGGTGCATGCCTGTCATCCCAGCTGCTTGGGAGGCTGAGGCAGGAGAATCGCTTGAACCTGGGGGACGGAAGTTGCAGTGAGCTGAGATCACACCACTGCACTCCAATCTGGTGACAGAGCAAAGTTCCGTCTCAAAAAAAAAAAAAGAGAGACTGTCACTATGACTGGAAGGAGTTCCCTTTTCCTGGGAGAGGCCTCCAATCAGCACAGAACCTGGGAGGCGAGGGATCAGGGTGGAGGACACCGGTGGGCGCTGTGTCCTGGCCACCACCTGTGAGCCCTGTGCCGCTGCTGCTGGGCCCCACCCAAACCAGTGACCGCCTGAAGAGAGAGACTCCACCCCTGCCAAGACCCCGCAGAGGGACTCCCCGCACTCCAATAACCGCACACGCCCAGGGTGGTCCTGTCGCAGACCCTGCCTCGGGAGGACAGGGCCCTGGTGATGCCCGACGTGCAGGGCGGGGTGCCTGGAAGGCTGGGGCCGTGTGTGGGCCCGTATGACGAGGAGGCCCCTCAGGGGCTCATGTTGCGGCTTTGCCGTTGTGAAAGAATTGGGGAAATGAAGACGACTTATTTTATTTTTTTGAGACTGAGTTTTGCTCTTGTTGCCCACGCTGGAGTGCAGTGGCGTGATCTCGGCTCACTGCAACCTCCGCCTCCTGCCTCAGCCTCCTGAGTAGCTGGGACTACAGGCGACCGCCACCGCACCCAGCTAATTTTGTATTTTTAGTAGAGATGGGGTTTTTCCATGTTGGCCAGGCTGGTCTTGAACTCCCGACTTCGGGTGATCCGCCCGCCTCAGCCTCCCTGAGTGCTGAGATGACAGGGTGAGACACTGTTCCTGACATCTTTTTAGTTTTTTATGTTTATCTGGGTTTTCTTTTTTTTTTTTTTTTTTAACAGTTATTGAGATTGAGTTCACAAAAACCTACAATTCACCCATTTACAGGGTGCAACTCCATCGATTTTCACGCATTCGGAGGCACGCGGCTGTCGCCGTTCCCAATTGTACGACATTTTTATTGCCCTGAAAAGCCCATACCCTTCTGGTGGCCGTCGCTTCCTATCCCTGTCACCCCTCCCCCGGGCCCCACGAACCTTCCGTCCGCCACTACAGATCTCCCTGTTCTCTCCACCTGTGGCCGCGGTGCCCGGCTCCTCTTTGGATCTCCCTGCTCTCTCGACCTGTGGCTGTGGTGCCCAGCTCCCCTCTCAGAGTGGACGGGAGAATTTCGGGTCCTTCCCCTGCTTGGTGCCCTCCCCCGCCTCGGGAAGCCGGCTCAGCCGCAGGCTCAGCCGTAGGCCTTCGTGTCAGCAAAGACCTCCTGGAGACCCCTCGCCTGGCCTGTGAGGAGGCCTGGGTCACCCGTGCCCAGAGGGACTCTGCCGGCGGCTGCAACAGGCCACAGCCTGGCGGTTTACTCACAGTAGGGATTCATTCCCAGTGACCCCGGAGGATGGAGGTCCGCGGTCAGAGAGCTGGCGTGGCCGGGGTCTGGGGAGGACCCACCTCCTGGTTCATAAACGGTGCCTTCTCTCTGGGTGCTCAAGGCTGGGAGGGAGGAGTGAGCTCTCTGGGGTTCCTTCTCTAAGGGCACAAACGCCCTGTTTACCTCCAAAGCACCCCCTCCCGATCCCATCGCCCCAGGGGTTAGGGCTTCAACATCTGGATCTGCAGGACCACAAATCTTCAGACCAGAGCAGGGGTCTGAGCTGAGGGGCCTCCAGGAGTGAGGAAGGGGCTCCCTTTCTCCCATGCCCGGGGTCCGGGGGCTGTCTGTGCCCCTCCACGACCCACCTCTTCCCGCTGCATCTGGCAGGGATGGCGTGTGGGGCTGGGGAGGAAATGGCCTGAGAGCCCCTGGGAGCTGACTCTGGACAGAAGCACCAGCTGTCTCCAAGATTTATCCACGACACGGGAGGGAGATCAGCTCTCAAGCCTTCAGATTTTGAATTGCCACGTGGCTCCCAAAGTGACACTGGGCACTGATGGGAGGGACTGAAGTATCGGGGCAGGTCCCCCCAAGCTGAGCTCTGCCTGAGATTCTGGGGCCTGCACAGAAGGGCAGCCCAGGATGCCCGCAGGGAACGCCAGCTCTGTGGGGCTGACCTCCCGCAGGCCGCGCACAGACGGTGAGCGGGCAGGGAGTGGCTCTCCGGCCCTGACGTGGCCCCTCGCCTGCCTTTCTGGACACCCTTGCTCTGCCGGCTCAGCAGCCCCAGCACCCGCTTCTGAGCTCTGGGTTCAAACAGAGATTAATCAGAGCGCCATCAACTGCACCGGCCGCCATGCTGCATCACCACAGAGCCAAGGAGACGCAACCAACCCCACACAGCCTGAGGCCGATGCAGCCCCAGACAGAGGGACAGGACCCCATGGCCGATCCAGGACAGACAGCAGGCTCTTTCCACTAAAGTCATTTGTCCCAGAAGTTCCCGAGGGACGCGGGGCCGGTGTGGGGCCTGCAGTCTGGTAGAAACCGGGCAGATTACAGATGGGGGCCCTGAGCTGTCCACCCCTCCCCACTGTGCTGTCCGCCACCCCAGGGCCCTCTACTTCCACCGGCACCCCCCAAGAATCTCAGGCTCTGGGCGTTCAGAGGCACCTTCCTGTGCCCCAGGCCAGGTGTCCAGGGTGACCAGCAGGATGTGTCACAGCCAGAAAATCCAGAGGTGCCCAGCGGACTCCTGCTTCCCAGGGCAGCTGTGGTTGTCATGGGAACCCGCGGGCCCACAGAGCCCTCTAGGAAGCGTGTCTGGGGTTGGGGCTCTGGGGTCACATTGGCAGAACACAAACCAGAGAATCTTGACTTAGGACATTTGAAATCCAAAAAAGAGGAGTTTGTGCCAGAAAAGGAGGAGAAAGTCTAGAGTCGGCCGGAAATGCTCTCTGGGGGTGGAGGGGCCTGGAGCACTAGGAGAAAGAACAGGGCCCCATGGGCACCAGGACCCTGCACCGTGCCAGCTGCTCTCAGGGCCACATGTTGTGGGACCAGGAGGACCCTGGTGGTGGGTCAGGGCCCGGGGGTTCTAGGAGGAGGTGGCTCTGGAAAGCGGAGGGAAGAAGTCCGTCAGCCTGGGACTGACGCTCCAATGTCAATGGCCCTGACAGACCTGTGCGCGGTGGGGGAGGGGGTGCAGCAGAAAGGAAGCCATCCCCTCCCAGCCCTGGGGCCCATCCCTCTTCTCCTGCCTGGCCTGACAGTGCCAGGACCCGGGCTCTGCAGCCAAGCCTGGCCACCCCACTCGGTAACCCCCAGCTGCTCCCACAGTCCAGACACACACTGCAGACCCGGAGCGGTTTCCACACTGTTTAATGGAGTCAAGTCACAAGAAGCCATCTAGGATTTCTGGGATTCTGTTCCCACTCCCAACTCATCTCTGAGGGCCCCTCCCCTGCTCCCTGAGCCCCCTGCCGGCGGGAAAACACAGAGCCTTGAGAGGCTGAGAGGAGCAGAAGGGTCTCGGGGCAGAGACCCGCGGGAGGGTGAGGCTGGGATTGGGGAGCAGCAGGGGTGTCCACAAGGAAGACGGGGCCTCCTGGATCATGCAGACCCCACTGCACCCCAGCTAGGGTCTGGGGAACGGAGGGACGTACTGGCGGATCCAGGACACGTAGCTCGTCACGCGGGCGTACACGCCGGGGTAGTCACGAAGGCCGCAGAATTTGCCCCAGCTCACTACCCCCACCTGGACCCAGGTGCAGTTCCACCTGCACACCAAGGGGCCTCCAGAGTCACGCTGTGGGGAGAGAGATGCTCAGCAAAGCCCGTGCGTGCACCCACAGCGACGGGGCTGGTGGGCAGGGGCAGGAGGAGGCAGGGTGGGGCTGGGGTCCCACCTGGCAGGAGTCCCGGCCCTCACTCCCAGCACAGAGCATGTCGTCTTGGATGACCCTGTCGTCGCTGCCTGAGGACTCGTTCTGGTACTGCTGCTTACATTCCCTGTTCCCCATGATGGGGACGTCCACCTCCTGCAGCTGGTAGGGTGGGGGCAGTGGCTCTGTGGGGAGAACATGGAGCTGAACCTGGACGGGGGGGGCCCTGCTTCTTCCTTAAAACAAAGACCTCACTCCACCCCATGCGGGGCCTCCCCGACCTTCAGCAGAGAGCACAGGGGAGCCCCCACCCATGAATCCTGACCCAGTGACTCAGTTTCCCCAAGTCCACTATAGTCAGGATCTGACCACATGACATCTGAGGGTCTGGACTCCAGCCCAGCACCAGGACACAGGGCTCCTCTTGGAAGCAGGGGCAAAGCCGC